CCAGCGGTCAAACGCAGTGACAATTTCCGCCTCGGCCAGATTTCTTTGTGCATTATTCCGCACAATTTCTTCTTTTTCCTTTTTCCAATTTTGGGGAAGAAATGAAAGTCCAATGGGAAAAAGAAACAGATTTTTTCAACATATTTTTTAGCAAATGGTGAAACATGGGTTCATTTGTAGAATACGGAACAGAAAAGACAATCTGCAAAATGCAGAAACCCTGGATCACCACAATTTCAAAAAGGTCCATGCAATCAAGGTGGCTTTGACATAAAGGGGTGCACATCTTGTTTTTCGATCATTAAGATGTGGTTTTGATCTGACTTGTTCCCGTTGACACAAAAGATTATTGCTGATTATTTCAAGATGGTTCTACAAACAACACTGAGACCAGCAATCAGGAGAAACCGGCCGGGTCTTCCATCGTGACAACGCGCCTGTGGACGCTCCAAGAAAGGTTACCGATCTTCTGGTCTCCTGACAGTTGTAAATCCTTGAACGTCACAGCTATTGCCTTGACTTTACACCATGCCACTTTCTTTTCTTTCCCAATATTAATGAACGATTTGAGAACAAGGAAAAGATTGTGCTAGAAATAAATACAAATATGCTGCTCAAATGACTCTGCCCGAAGAGGATTGGTTCCAATAAATCTTATTAAGTTTATAAAACAGGTAAGGCAACTTATTTCTTGGACGGACCTTTTCTTATTAAATTATTATTACCTCAGAAGTCCCGTGTGCAAGTTGCGCACGTTAAAGTTCCCTTGGTGCTCCAAAAATCAATAAGAGTAGGCTTCGGCCACTACCCGGGCAAAATTCAAAATTTCCTACCAATTGAAAATGTTTAATAGATCTATGTCCGCGCGCTCATATGACCTTAAGCAGTTGCGAGCGCCGTAAAACATTTACCAAAATTAAAATTGTTATTACTATTAACATAATATTTCAAACGGCTGTAGATTGTCTCGAACTTGACTTGCAATGGGTCCGTCCAAGATTAGAATTAGGGTGTTATCCGTACATGACTCTAAATAACATAGAACAAAAACACAACCGAAACGCTGTCAAGGGATAGCGGCAGTCCCAATGATGTCACTGATACTAACATTAGGAAATTGGCACATTTTGTTCTGGTTGTAATTCTTAAGCTCTTATTCGGTGCATTTTGACATATTATCTCTCTCCATCCCCTCCCCTCTCACTCTCTCTCTCTCTCTCTCTCTCTCTCTCTTTCCCTTT